CACTAGGATCATCGCGCCTGATCTTATACCGCGATGCTTTACATACCGGGCATTCATCTAAATTCTCGTATTCATTGCCATGGTAGAGGATGCAGTCATTAGGACATGCATGTATCTTCTGGATTTTTAATCCCAAAGGGCAGACAACCTTTTTTGCTTCGTACGTAGTGGTGGGCAATTCATTTGGCTTCGAAAGCATCTTCTTTATGAGGTTCAATAAATTCCCAAATGCCTTGTCGGATACACCATTCTTTGCCTTCCACTATAGCAATTTCAGTGTTGTACCCAGCTTTTTTTGCCCCTCTTCGGCCGTCGGGTATAGCAACTTCCTATGATCCTCAAGCATGCGCTCAAACTTAACTTTCTCTTTTTCACTTTCCCATTCTTGTTGTGCATCACGAATGGCATCGCCAAGAGCATCACCGAGATCATCTTCTACTGCTACCTCTTCTTCATCTCCCCCCATTGTAGTATCATCAAAGGCACCATACTGAGCAATAATGTCATCAATGTCTAAATCTTCTCCTTCACCTTCTACCATCATGACCCCGCTTTCTCCTTGCTTAGTCCAACATATATAGTTTGACATGAAACCTGACTTAAGCAAATGTGAATGAAGACTCATTGAGCTTGAATATTCCTTTAAATTCTTACATAGGGCACATGGACAGCACATGAAACCATCCCGCTTATTTGCCTTGGCCACACCTAAGAAATAGTGCAAGCCCTCAATAAAGTCTTGGGAGCGGCGATCGGCATTGTACATCCAATGGCGTGACATAATCTGTATTACACGACAAATTATGAAAACCTTGAACATAATTAAGTATTTTATTACACAACATAGATGACACACACACGATTAATTAATTAACTAAGCCTGGCTACAACGTAAGCAATCCCAACTATCACTAAACAAACTAAAACTACAATACACTTCAGTAACATATTTATTTCGTGATCGTACGCAACTAAAACAGACAAATCATTCTTCTGTTGAATATCAATAAGCTTCTCCTGCTGGCTCACTGCCTCATCAGCAGCAGCCGAATTCTGCACGTATGTAGCATAATCTTCCTCCCAGTACCAACCATCGCATCCATTGCCCTCCCACTGAAATTAAAGCCAAAAAATATTTAGTCAAAAATATTCAAGAAAAGCAGGTCAATTAGCCATAATAATCAAATGCGTAAGAAACTCACATCGCGATTTAGGCGCTTGTAGAAAACACGACCCTTGTTGGGTCCCTGTCTCTTGACTCGGTACTCCATCACAATCTTCTGCTTACACTTGCCGCAGATAATGAGAGGGAGTTCTGGCCTCAGTCGTTTCGCAACCGAACGAGAGGCCGAGGATCCGGTACCAGTTGTCATCTACTTTCTATACTTATATTTGCAAACTACTGTAAATTTCACATTTTCTAAAATAATATATTTAAACAAAACTAAAATTATTTATTTATCTAACTAAACCATGAAATATGTACTATGTATAATAGTAAAATACCAAACTATCAAGTGATTTTACTATTGTAAATCATCATGTGATTTTGAGCTAAAAACGACATAGAAATCACATAGCTCAAAAACATGTTTCAATAAATAACCATCCGTACTAGTTGACCTTGCTTACGTGATCATCTCGGCGAGCATTTCTCCACCGGACGGCACCGTACTTGGCCAAGGAAGAGCTCCGATTCTACGAGGAAGGGAACACGGTCTTCCACGACCGTTGCCGCTCTCCCTCATAGAATCAAAGCTCCTCCTTGACGTCCGTTACCGCTCGGCAGAGAAAATGCTCGCCGAGATGATCACGGTCCGCAAGTTCAACTAGTACGGATTTTCTACAATTTTCTAACAATTTTCTAAGTTTTTCATTTCATGGAAAAATTAATTCTAAGATCACGTAAGCCGCTGGGGACGAGGATGGCGCGTGCTCCAGCGAGGACGAGCGAGGCGTGATTTTGATGAACTAATTTAACTTTTGTTTATCCAAACACATATGCAAATCATCATGTGATTTTGAGCTAAAAATGACATATAAAATCATAATAAAGTCCAACATATAAAGTTACACATGCATCTACATCGCAAAATGAGATAAGCTACTGATAAAACATAAGAGGATTAAGTTTGTTACCTCCAAAATCGAAGAGCAACACCAATGGAGGGGGAGAGAGCAAGAACAACAGCAAGCTGAAGAACAGAGGCAGTGAGTTTGAATGGAATGGCTCAGGCTCGGGGAGGAAGAAATGAGCCGTTGTATAGGCCCGCATAATTAGTCCCGGTTAGGTGGCCAAATCGGGACACCTTTAGTCCCGGTTGGTAATACCAGCCGGGACTAAAGATCCCTGCCACTCGGACGATCGTTCATAAGGGGGACCTTTAGTCCCCGGTTGGTAGACGAACCGGAGACTAAAGGGTCCTTTAGTCCCATGTAAAAAATGACGAGGCTAATGCCAAATTAGGACATCGTTCTAAAGTCCGTTTCTCTAGTAGTGTAGGGAGATCAATGAAAAGGGATACGTATACACAAAATTCTAGTTTTTTTATACGAATCTAAGATGATTTGGCCACCATATCAAGAGATGCAAACTAGCAACTAGGGTGCACAATGATACAAAAAAACTCTTAAATTAACATGGATAGGAATTGTTTGGTTTAATTGTATAAAAAAGGTTAGTGGAAGATGAGCATGATTTCCATATTACAAAGACTTGATGCAACCAAAATGACTTTCCATGTTTTGACCATCTTTGGCTACTTGAAGATATGGCACATTTTTCTCAAACACTTGAAGAAGAGAATTGATCAATGTAACTACAGGCCGTTTATAGACACTTACCCCACCTCCCCCAAAAGTTGGTCATTGTATGATTCTATTATGTTTAGTCAAGTCTTTTTAAACTTATATTAGACCATTAATATATATGGAATGTTACATAGAGTCACAAAAAATTGTTGACATTACCACATTTATCAAGGAAAGTAATTTCATAACGAAAAGAATGCATCTCTAGGTAGAATATTCTAAGTCAAAATTATCTCAATATTTGATCAAATATTTACAAAAATGTAAAAAAATATTTAACATGCCAATGAAGTATCATGAGAACCCTCATGGAAAACATTTTCATAATATATCTATTTGGAGTCATAAATATTAATTATATTTTCTATAAACTTTGTCAAATCTATATTAAGATAATTTGATTTAAAACATAACTTGTAGTTGCGTCATTTTTTTGCAGAGGTAGTACATTTTTATGAAAACTCGTATGTCAAAGTGTCACGTTGAAGACCGTGTCAATGTCCTAAGGTCAGTCTCAATGAGTGTTTTATGTCTCTGTTTTTAAGACTCCCATGTGCTGGAAATAATGTATACAAGTTTCATGCTATGAAACTCATTTTTTGTCCCACGAAACTTTTACCACATCTCTCTTCATTAATACTATGCCACATTTGCATATTTAATTTCTATGAAACTCTCATGAAACCTCCATTGAAACTAGCCTAAACGTTGACCTATGACATTTGTAATTAGAAGGGCATATAATGCATGCATTCAACGCAAATAAGGCAAATCAAAATTAATGGCTCGGTGATAGGATAGGGGCGGAGGCTGTTTTACCTTCTCCCCACCTCCCATGTGTTAGTATAGTCCTATGACTAACTTGGGTGCCGAGGTGATCTACTGCTACCTATAGCAATTAGCTATAGCGATCCACCTACCTTCGTTTCACGCACAAGTTTCACATGGATCGAATAAAATTTGCTGTAAATTACTCCTTTTGTCCTGGACAATTCAATTTATAGACTTGCTTTAAGTCAACCTTTTTTTAATTTTCCGAGTTTATATAAAAAGTATCAAATTTATGAAACCAAATTAATATAATTAAATACACTATAAAATATATTTTTATAAACATTGGTGCTCGATCTTTTGTATAAATTTTAGCTAAACGTAAATAACTTTAACTTAAGACAACTAGAGAAATTAATTTATTTAGGGATGAAATAGTATCTAAAATTCCTCATTTGTCCAAAAAAAAAAGCTGGCAAAAAATGGTCAATAGTTGGTTACCTTACTCACAGGTGGAAATTGATGCAGCAGCAGGCAGCCACGGACAAATGCACGGGTATCATTCATTCATATATATATATATATATATATATATATATATATATATATATATATATATATATATATATATATATATATATATATATATAGAGAGAGAGAGAGAGAGAGAGAGAGAGAGAGAGATGCACTGGATATATATAGATAAAACCTGCATATGTATTATATAATAATATATATATCCACGTCTTGGGAATAATTAAAAAGGATGCACATGTGTAGCACCTACGTACACACCAAACACCATGCTCACACCACCCAGAGTACGTACGTACTACGTAGTATAAACAAACTACCAATAATCGTCTTACACTATCTGGAGAGCAGTATGCATGCCTGCTAGCAAATTACCGTATCACCCCTGCCATGCCATCTCTGTCATCTCCCTCTCCTAATTGGAATGAACAATTGAATACTAGTAACAGTGATAGATGTAGTATCAATCTAATCATATGAGTAACATCTGCTAGTAAATGTTGTGATTATAATATAACAACAACAATCGGGGGGTTAATTAAACAGGGCTGATGAGATCGAGATCGAGATCGAGAAGGAGGAGCGAGATCATGTGGCGTTTGAGTGACAGTGCCACTCCAACTTACTGCCAGCCGCTTTTAATCGATCAGCAATCTCCTTTCACTCTCTCTCATCACTCTAATCACTTTTGACATCCCTCTCCCTCTCTAGAGATCTTTCTTTTATTTTTAATTTCCCTCTCTCTCTCTCTCTCTCTCTGTCTTCTTGCTGCTGTTGTTGTCTCTTCTTTACTACTGTAGCAGGCATGCTGGCCATGTCATCACGTAGGGGCTTACGACGAGTCGACGACGTACGTACATAGTAAGGCGACGACGACGGCCGGTCTACAGTGACACGTGGCTCAGCCGCTCCGTCGACGTGGCCGCCGCCGCCGCCGCTGCCGAAGCCGACGACCGCGTGAAGCTCCACAGGTCGTCGTCGCTGCCAGCGCCGCTGGAACCTGCGGAGCCGAGCAGCAGCCTGTTGGCAGCGGCGGAGTAGAAGGCGAGTCCGCCGTCCGCGTCGTCGGCGCCGGTGGCGTCGTCGAAGCAGCTGCCGAGGTGGTCCGCGGCGGGCGCGACGTCGGGCGCCTGCCCGTTCAGGTGCGACGCCACCAGCCGGTCCATCATGGCCCAGTCCGTGATCCCGTTCCCGGCGCGGTGGAGGCCGAGGAGGTCGTCGACGACGACCCCGGCTGCGGCGGCGGCGTCGCCTGAGATGGCGTGCTGCAGCGGCGTCATCAGCGCCGCCGCGGCCGCGGATGGGCTCTCGAGCGGGGGCAGCTTCATGAACCCGTGCCCGCCCAGCACAGTCTCGATGGGCCGGAGGTACCTGGACGCCGCCCGCCTCGCTGCCGGCGGCGGCGACAGCAGCTCGTGCTCCTGCTTGCAGGACCTGCCCATGTACTGCAGGATCTGGTCCAGCGCGTCGTCGCTGGAGGAGTACTGCAGCCCACCGTGGTGCTGGTGCTGGTGCGCCGCCGCGGCTGCAGCAGCAGCAGCCTTGCCGCCGCCGTGCCCGTGCTCGTTGTTACTGCCGCCGTGCTTGCTGCCCCCGCCTCCACCTGATGACTCCTTGTGGTGGTGCTTCTTTTTGAACACCCTGCACACCACCCAGCCGTCCTCCTGCGCGCCGTCCGACGCAGCAGCCGCAGCAGCAGCGGCGACCTGTCCACCACGACATCGCCGACGACGACGACGAGAGGCCGATCGGTAAAGTAGGGCAGCAGTGTTAATTATTGCTACCTTTTGAGGGCACATGAAGCACATGGCAAAGTTTAATAATAATTACTACCTTCCCTATAGCCTACTACTGCTCTCTCCACTCCACCGTACCCTCTTTCTCTTCTCTCCTCAACAATCAATCAAACAAGAGGGGGAAAAGAAGAATTTTTTTTTTCTTACGGCCGGCTGGAGCTGGATCAAATCAAGGCGGGCAGCCGTACTCGTATGATTGCACCACCACCGCCATATAATTGTTTCTTACGGCAGGCAATAATTAATGGTGGCGTACGTGAATTGGTGCAGACATTAACGACAGAGTAGACAATTATATTAGCTAGGTGAAGGGAAGCAGGAAGATCTGAGCTGGATGCATGGGTGGGCGATCGATCATGGATGCTTGCTTGCTTACCGTGGCGGCAGCGGCGGCGGCGGCATCGCCGGAGCCAGCAGCAGCAGGGTCGTCGAGGCGGTACTCGTGCATGATCCAGTCGGACTTCTGTCCGTGCGGCGCGCGGCCCTTGTAGAAGACGAGCGTCTTGCGCATGCCGATGCGCTTGACAGCGTTGTAGATGGCCTTGTCGCGGCCGGTGGCCTTCCAGAACCCGGCAGCCGTGGCGCGGTTCGTGCGCGTCCCCGTCGGGTACTTCTTGTCCTTGTGGCTGAAGAAGTACCAGTCGTTCTGGGGGCCCGACCCGATCTTGCATTTCTCTGCAATTCGATCAGCACCATGGACGAGTTATTAGCACGCAATTCTCGATCGTTTATTAGTTTGTCGATGAACGAACAGGTTACATCTACTTGCATGGGACTAGCTATTTAGCTAGGCAGTTGCATTCACCACCAGGTCAAGCATATTGAACCGCACAATTCGTACTACAATTCAGCAAGCTCTCTAGCTCTGCCCAGCTGCCAGCCCATGGCACATGGCAGCCGTAGTCGACGGTGCAGGTGGTGGTGGTGGTGGTGCAACAAGCCATGGCCCATGGGTACGTACGTGCAGTAGCAGTTGGAGGGAGGGAGGTACGGTAGCTAGTTTAAGTCCATGTTCGTCATGTTCATGCATGATCAGGTCACCAGCTCCCATGGATCCAATCGATCCACGACCACGATCTGCCACTGCTGGAAGGTAGCAGCAGCTAGAGAGTGAGTAGCGTACCTTGGATGTCCCATGGCTCGAGCTTGTTGAGGTCGACGTCGCGGATGACGTCGAGGTCGATCTCCTGGGAGGCCACCTTCTTGCGGAGGTAGTAGTTGAGCAGCTCCTCCTCCGTCGGGTGGAACCGGAACCCCGGCGGCACGCACGACTGCCCGTTCACCGAGATGCTCATTGATGATCTTAGCGCTTGTTCCTTGCTCTTCTTTGTTCTTTAATTCTTTCCCCGTGCAGGTGCTGGTGCGTCGATCTCTCTAATAAAGCTCGCTCCTTCAACACACACTCACTCACAACTTAGTTTGCTTGGCTCATGACGAGCCGCGGCTGCTGCTGCTGCTAGTGGTAGCTAGGAGGAAGAGGACGAGGGGGAGGCCAGAGGAGGAGGAAGACGGTGACGAGGAAAGAGAAGGGAAGGGAAGGAGAAGCTGGTGGCAGGGGAGGAAAGGCGCGCACTTATATATAGTGGGGGTTGGGGTACTTTTGCCGCCCGCCCAGCAAAGCAAAGGCAAGGCAGCAGAGGGATCCGAGTGAAATTAGGGGGATGGGGATCGCGTCCATATGTCCCTGGATCCATCCATGAATCATATTGCCATCATTCCATTTCCATGCTCTTGCCTTGGTCGCCTCTGCCTCCCCCCCTCTCTCTCTCTCTCTCTCTCTCTCTCTCTCTCTCCTGTGTCTGTCTGTGTGTAGCTACCAAGATAGCTCTGCTTGCTGTAGCAGCTGCTGCTACCTCTCTCTCTCTCTCTCTCTCTACACTATACTGCTACCCCTTCTTCTAGTAGGAGTCGTCAGTCAGTGTACTGCAGCTATAGCCCGGAGCTGCTTGCCACCCACTCCTGAGAGAGACGCCGGAGAGAGAAAGACAGAAAGAGGAAAGGTGCATCCTTGCTAGTACGAGCTGAGTAGTAGAATTAAGAGAGAGAAAGGGAGAGGACAAGCCAACGGTTTTCATTTCTCTTCCTCCATGCATTATATATAGTGATATATATATATATATATATATATATATACATACATGTATATGTAAGGAATTAGTAGGATTTATACATAAATATATATACATATATATACTTAATTATATATCACTACTACACAAATGATTTTGCGACACTATCCAATCATTAACTAAGGCTGTCATAAAATGCAACAATCTTCTAAAATACTTGACCATTACCAGAGGCGGATGTTTTATTTATGGAGATAGGCAAAAATTGCCCGCCTCCTAAAATGGATTTACGAAAGCGGTCAAAAACTACCCACCTTCGAAAATGGATTTTACGGAGGTGGGCCTCTTAAGAGGTCAATCTCTAAAAATGGAGGCCATTTTCAGATGCAGACTCTGTTAATCGTGACTGAGCCCATCTGTTTTTTGGCCCATCTCAGCCCGTTAACGGGTTCATAGTATATAAATTGAGAAACCCTAGCTCATTCATTCTCCTCCCACCCGCACCATGTCCATCTCTCTTCCTCTCTGCCTCTCTTCCACACGCGCACTTCTCTCTTCCGATCAACAATGACAGTGCGAGGGCAGGCCGCTTGTGCCCCAACGGCGAGGGCCGCTCAGACCAAGGCTGCGGGGCCCCCACGCGCCCCGGCGGAGGGTCACACACGTGCCAGTGTCGGGGGTCTCTTCCGCGGCAGCGCAGGGTGTTCGCAACGGCAGCAGCGGCGGCAGGGGCTCTTCAGCAGCGGCCGTGGCCGAATTCGGCGGCGGTGCATGGATGGGCTCGGCGGTCTTGTCGATGTTCTTTTTCATTTTTAATCTATTTTTAGGGACGAACATTTGACCATCTCCAAAAATAACGATTTCCGTAGGCGTAGCTTCGGCGCTGTCCGCCTCCCATAATCTCTTTGACCGACTGCAAAAATCCCTTCACTAATATGAGTTGTGTATATTGACACGCCCATCGATATAGATCCTACCTAGCCTTGGAATCTTTTGAGGCTGGATTATCATTATTTTGTCCCACCATGTGCTGGCCGCTCAATTTCATTTGTACTGTTTGTACTGCAGGATGATGATCTAATCGGTGGTAATATTATATAACCTGATGCATGGACGGAGGTATACTTGTCATTTTTATATACTATATTCATCTCAGCTCTATTATTTGTGTCCTCTTTCTGGTTGCTTCAAATAATGATAGTTACTCCTCCCCCTGGCTACGAACTCTGCATAGTAGCATATATAATAAGCAGCTAGCTAGCTGGGTGACACTTCTTCCTTGGATGGACCAGCTGTTTCTTGGAAATGTTGGTGTCACTCTGTCACTCGCATCAAAGTACAATGGTATATAGTACGTGTCCACACAAAATTTCATTATATATAAGCAATTAGGTACTTAATATAAAAACTTATGAAAAGAGAGAGAGTAGCAGTTCATATCTCAGTTCACATGTAGAGAGCATCAGACAAAAAAGCCTCCACATGACTTCAGGGTTTCTATCTACTACACTACACTACACCCCGTTCTTTTGTCATTTTGGCCTGGCCTGGTCCTTGTTGGTCAAAGTTACTGTTTCAGTGCATATGACATCTAACATGATCCAGTAGTATTAGTAAGATGTCCTGCACGTGTGTGCGTACATAATCCAAGCACTTGTTAGGTTTTCCATTTCGGAGAATACATCCAGCGTTAGCTCCAGTGCTCAACAGCTTTGTCGTATCCATAGTTGTATATATAGAAATATATACTCCTATCTACTTGTAAGCACTACCTTGTACTAGCTAGCTAGGGTGATGCATGCGACCCAGGAATGGTCAAGTCACAGCTAGAGCCATCCATCGTCCAAATCCAAGGCATGCGTGCATGGAAAATCCAAGGCATGCAGTTATTAGCTCTACTCTACTGTACATGTAACCCAATTTTTTCTTTGTCAAGTCGCTAATCTCTTTCAGTTACCCATCGTCATGCATGGGTGCCAAATCCCTTTGATGATTTTGCATCCAAAAAAAAAAAATCTTGTGCTGATCAGAACTAAATTTATACAGTGTGTGGACGTGTGGTGTCGTTGCAGTTATTAGCTAATAGTGTGATGCAATTATTAGCCTTTATCATATATGGTTGATTTTGTTGCTTGTGTTCGAGTTGTACCATCAAAGCCATAGCTATACCTGATCCCGGCCTTGAATTACAACGAAACCTAGCTAGCTAGGTAAACAGTGTGTTTAGGTGTCAATTATCAACCATGAGCGGTCAAAATCCACACAGTAAATTCAAGTGTGTGCTGTTATTTCACTTTGCCCAGATACCATGCATCCAGTGTAATTCAACATTCATTTGATGTCATGTCACAACTCGGAACCGATCGATAGATTTTACATATATCCTGAACGATGACTATCTGTCATGCAGTTGTTGTTTGGCGGTAAATTTATCTCATCGTGAAGTCTGCTCAAGTGGAGTCACTACCCCACAATTACTATCGGTTCCAAACGGGCTTTATCTACTGGATTTTGATCTGATAGTGGAAAATTTGCAGTGATAGGCTTGGACTTTCAGTACCGACAGTGAGATCTAATTTCACGAAAGGAAAAAAAAGAAAAAGAGAAGAAAGAAAACACCAGCGCCGTCCATGCCCACACGCTACTTAAAAAAACGTTCGTAGCAACGGGACAATTTATTTATAGGAGCGGCTGGTGATGGAGCCGCCTCTACAGTGGGCATGCTCGAGACTCACGAGACCAGCCGCTCCTAAAAATGGCATAGTAAGGGTGGCTGATGATACGAGCCGTCCCTACAAATAGGTCGATTTGTAGGGGCGGCTCACTCACCAGCCGCCCCTAGTGTTGCGATTTGTAGGGGCGGCTCAATTACCAGCCGTCCCTATAAACCACACTTGTTCATCATCGATCATCATGAACAGTTGTGATTTTTCTTTTTAATCTTTGGGTAAAATTTATAACTAGTCTTTCTCCCTCATACTAACTCCAAATATGATGATTTTTTTTTCTAAAATTTTCTAAAATCATGCCCTATCAAGTTACTGTGTTGATTTGTCATTCTTTTCGTTTGACAAAGTTTGATCAATTCAAATTTTCAAATTAAAAAAAATAACAAGTTCTAACAAGATTTTGAAACACCAAATGATTTCAGCTCAAAAAAGTGATGAATACCAAAGATGTATAACTCATCAAGATCTACAACTTTTATTTTGGTTATTTCTTTATCTGACAAAGTGATAGTAAACATTTTTCACAAATCAACATGTCTCTCGTATAGTTCATAAAACTATGAGTAATATGTAAATTTATGAACAATGTTTACTAATACTTTGTCAAATAAAGAAGTGACCAAAATAAAAGTTGTAGATACTGATGAGTTCAACAACTTTTATGTTCATGACTTTTATAGTTAAAATTATTTAAGGTTTTAAAATCTTGTTTGAAGTTGTCATTTATTGAAATTCAAAATTTTAACTATTCAAATTTTGTCAAATAAAAAGATGACCAAAATAAAAGTTGTAGATAGTAATGTGTTCAACAACTTTTATATTCATCACCTTTACAGTTGAAAACATTTAGTGATTGAAAATCAGGTTTAAAGTTGTCATTTTCTGAAATTCAAAATTTGAATTGTCTAAAATTAGTGACAAAGATAGATAACCAGACTAAAATGATAGAGCATGATTTTAGAAAAAAAAATCATCACATTTGGAGTTGGTATGAGGGAAAAAAACTAGTTACAAGTTTCAGCCACAGATTAAAAAAGAGAAATCATACTTATTCATCATTGATCATAATGAACAGTTATGATTTTTCTTTTCAATCTCTGGGTAAAATTTGTAACTAGTCTTTCACCCTCATACTAACTCCAAATGCGATGATTTTTTTTTCCTAAAATTTTCTAAAATCATGTCCTACCAAGTTACTATGTTGATTTGGACATTCTTTTCGTTTGACAAAGTTTGAGCAATTCAAATTTTTAAATTTAAAAAAACGACAAGTTCTAACAAGATTTTGAAACACCAAATGATTTCAGCTGAAAAAGCGATGAATACCAAAGATGTATAACTCATCAAGATCTACAACTTTTATTTTGGTTATTTCTTTATCTGACAAAGTGATAGTAAACATTGTTTACAAATAAACATGTCTCTCGTATAGTTCATAAAACTATGAGTGATATGTGTATTTGTGAACAATGTTTACTAACACTTTATCAAATAAAA